AATAGACGTATATAAGCAAATATGTGGAGTGATGTATACGGGAATGTACGTGAGCTATATGTATGTAAATATATAAATGATTGGTAAATATATACAAGTAAACATGTATAGTGATGAATATGTAAATGTACGTGCTCTACACGAATGCGTAAATGAATGAGAAGTACGTCGATTAATGTAATTTTTCTGTGAGAGTGGTGTGGGTTCTGTGTTTCGAGAGTATGGTGTAGAGGTGTTTATGTCATCATACCAATACTCATGGACACACATAGGACATGGATTCCTTAAAATGTATATCGTTGTTGTTAGATGCGCGTTCCAGCAGCCTTTGTAAGATCATAAGGACCTGAATAGTAGGTATAGCGTGTTCAACTTGGCCGACATGATCACTCAACAATCTTAAACTCTGCAGTTCATCAATTCATCAATGTATAATATCAGGGACTTGGAGATATGGGATTTAGATCTTAATCCCGCCAGAGCATCACACGACAACTTTGCGATGTTCCTGAAGTCAGTCTCCGAAGGACAGGGTGTGTATGCGAACAAGCGGGTGCTTTACAAGTCCAACTAGACTACGGCACTTTGTGCTCTGCCTGCACATACATTGTGGATTAATCATCTGAAGCAAGAAGTGTGCATGCGATCAAATGTGCGCTACGCATGATCAACTAGACTGAATGTATTGTACATTTCTTTTTTGGGGTTGTTTGGCTAATCGAAATGCCTTAAATGTATATTTTAGGTATATTTGGCTATTCTATACTTTTATATATATTTTCTAGCTTTATTTGGCCAATCGATATGCCTTAGATATTCATTTTGGGTTATTTGGCTAATCGATATGCCTTAGATATTCATTTTGGGTTATTTGGCTAATCGATGTGCCTTAAATTATTCATTTTGGGATATTTAGTTATTTGGTTCGCCTTAGATATATTTTCTGGTTTTATTTGGTTAATCGATATGCTTCAAATATATACATATCAGGCTTATTTAACCCTTGAGTATATGTTTTGGATTATATTGACTGGAAACAAAAGTGTTAAATACTTGAGCATGCTACTGAACACTAATCGCTGCTCCAGTCACATGGCTGGATCGTTAAGCGGGTTGTCTCTATATTTGTTTATTTTCCGTCACTTTACTTTGCTACAGTGTATTAAACCGGGCTTATTTTCCGTAACTTTACTTTGCTACAGTGTATTAAATCTTCCCTAAGAATGCCATTTAAACTTAAACCTGATCTCTCTTTTCTGCAGTTCTCCGTATTTGTACCGTGTATCTCTGTTTATTACAGTGGCAGAAGATTGTACACCTTTGTTGTCTGTGCTGTGCTTGTGGAGTGCCTCGTTCTCAAGATTGCGCACGCAGGCACGCACTAGAGTGTCCATAACCACGTGATCACTGCCTTAACTTGCTGTTCCTCATGCGTCTCACACACCTTCTTCAGTATCCACAGACACACGTGATCAATGCCCTATCTTGCTATTTCTCATG